GTGACCGGCACCTGCGCGCTGCTGCGAAAGCTTGAGGCCCTGCTGCTGCTGCTGCTGCTGCTGCGAGGAAGATGGCGGCGGCGGCGACGCGGCCGCCTGCGGTCGCTTCTCGGCGCGGCCCGTGGGCGTCTGGGAGCCCGATGGCGTGCCCGGCGTGGCCGTGGCGGTGCCCGACTTTGCCAGCTTGTTGTTCTTGGCCGCCTCGCGCTCGCGCTTCTCGCGCTCCTCGCGCGCAATCTGGAGCGCCTTTTCCGGGTTGGCCACGTACGTCTCGTCGTCGTCGTCGTCCGAATCGTCCGAGGCGTACGGGTTGCGCTCCTCTTCGTCGCGGTCGTAGACCTCGTTGCCGTCCTTGCGCGCGAGGGCGCGCACCAGCTTGCGCATCTGCTCGCCGCTGCCCGTCAGCATCTTGTTGTCGTCTTCTGCGGCGCTGCCTTCGCCCTCGACGTCGCTGTCGGCCGCATCGTCGCCAATCTTGTTGGCCCGCGCCATCTCGCGCTTCAGCCGCTCCTCGAGCTCGCGCGTCTCCTCGTCCTCGGCGTACGGGTCCCCCTCGTCCATCTTTTCCTCGTCGTCGGCAAACTCTTCCTCGTAGTCGAGCTCGCCGTACGTCCCGCCGTCGTCTTCCTGCTCGCACGGCACGTCGGTCGAGCAAACGGGGTGGTGCGGGAGCTCGGGTCAGCAAGGAGGGTCAGGAGCCGAGCCGCGTCACCGGCATCGACACTGCAGGCCGCGCGTCGGTACTCACCCGCTTCCGCCTCCGAGAGCCGCCGCCCTCGTCGTCGTCGTCGTTGAGCAGCGCACCGCCGTGCACGGCCATCAGGTTCCTGCGCCGTCCGCCGCCGCTGCTCGACCCACCAGAGGGCAGGGCGAGACGACCGACGCCCGGCCAGTCTCCCCATCCGCCGCCGCTGCCGCCTCCCTCTGACTTGACCGCCGATGCACTCGTGGGCCCGCCGTCGCCCCTGGCCTTGCGCATCGCCCACCGATCCATCTCCTTTGTCTTTTGGTACTTTTGGTACTGCGAGCGCGCGTCCAGGAGAGGGGGGAAAGAGGAGCGGGGGCAAGCAAGGGAAGCGCATCAGTCGACGCTCCGAGTCCGCAGCCGGCGCCGCGGAGCACTCACCTCTGCCTCGACCTCCTCGTTGGACATGGTCGAGTGCTTGGGCTTCTGCAGGAACTTGTACATGCGCGTGACGGGGACGACCTTGAAGCCGCCGGCGTCGCGCTCGTCAAAGACAAAGAGGACGTGGTGCGACGTGGCGTTTTCGTCCGAGTCTCCCTCGAGCTTGCCGATCCAGGGCGCGTGCGACGACGCCGACGCCGACGACGAGGATGGGCCGGCTGCGGACGCCTTGGCGGCCTCTCCCTCGTCCTTGACGGCGCTCGATGGCCCTGCGCTCGCCATGCTGACGTCGCCGTCGCGCGCCTCGGACGAGCCGGGCTGCTGCAGCTGGCCCTTTGCCTTGAGCTCGTCGATCCAGCCCTCGAGCGCCTTTGCGCCCGTCGGGACGGGGTTGCGCGTGCTCTCCCACTCCTCGGACGTCTCGAAGTCCTCGAGGACCCATGGAAAGTACTCTTGCTTCATGGTCCTGCGGGTCGAGTCGGCGGCCTTGTGGACCTCCTTGACCTTTTTCTGGAACAGCTTGCCCTTTGGCGGGCGGGCAGCGCTGCCGGGGGCGATGAGGCTCTGGTCTGCGCCGGGCGCCTTTGGCTTGTCCTCCTTGCGGATGACTTCCTCGATGCGTGCGAGGTCCTCGCCGGGAGCGGGCCAGGTGAGGGGCTGGCCGTCCTTTGCGAGCATGGGGCGGCCGTACTTGTCGGTGACGGGGTCGCCGGGCTTGGGCCTGGGCAGCTTTGGGCGGGGCGGGTTCTTGCGGTTGAGCTTGAGGGGCGGCACAAACTGGGACGTATCGGCGGGGTCGACGCGGGTGTGGTGGGCAAATTTCATGAGGTGGGTGAGCCAGGGGCCTGCGTCGGTGGAGAAGAGGGGGATGTCGCGGTAGGTGGTGGGTGGCGGCGGGGGCAGGTCGCGCTTGGCCTCTTGCTTTCTGGCGGTGGCGGTGGCGGCGGCGGCAACGGCGTTGCTGGTGCCGTTGCGGTTGCGGTGCGAGCCGCTGGCGACTCCGTTGGAGTGCTCGCTCTTGACGCCACCGGCGGCGCCCGGCTCGCTCTTGACGGGCGGCATCGGGGGCAGTTGGGTCGAGTGAAGTCGTCCAAGTCGGCCGGGCCGGACGGGAGCAGCGAGGGATTCGGTCGCCGTAGCTGGCGTGCAAGAGAGGGCGTCTGTGGAGGACTGAAGCGCGGTAGCAGTAGTAGTGGCTGCGTTGGCCTTTGGACGAGGGTGGTCGGGGAGAAGGTCAAGCAGCGGGCAGCGAGGCGGCCGTATGACGGCGTTGCCTTTGCCTGGTCGGCGCCTTGGCAGGTCCCGCCCGCTCTCGCTGCCCTGCCCCTGCCCTTCCCGGCTGTCCTGAGCGTACGTCTGCCTGGCTGGCTCCGGGTCGACGGGCGCACTCCACTTTTTCGAGGCAGGCCGGCGCGCTCAGCCTGGACGGATGGCTGGTTCCCTCGCCGATGGCTGGCCTGGGCTGGCGGGCAGGCCAGGGTCGAGGCTCCTCACGTGCAGTCAGAGGCCACACAGACAGAGGCCTAGCTTGCTCCTTGGACGACGCAGCCTGAGCCTCGCCTCCTTCCTCTCGTCCACCTCCTCGACCACGCCCTTCCGTGCACCACCATCCACCCGTCCTCTCCTCTGCCGGCATTTCGCCTGACGCATCAATCTGCACCCGCCTCCGCATCCACGACCGCAGCAGCCAGCCACATCCGCAGGAGGAGCAGCTCAAGATCGGCCTGGCCCTGGCTCCTCGTCTCGTCGTCCGGCTCTGGTCCTGCGAGCAGCGAGCAGTCGCCGACCACGGAGAGAGCGGGCACAGCGCCACTCTGGCTCGACGAGGGTGCCGCGAGGCAGCGGAGACCGATACGTCCAGTTCAGCTTAAGACAGCGCTCCTCTCTGCGCCCTTGGCACCCGTGCTGCGCTGCGCCGCGCCGCTGCAATCCGCACCATGTCGGCGCTCCTCAACTTTGTCGATCGTAAGTCGCCTTTTCCCCCCTCGCCTTGCTTCGCCACGTCGCCCCAAAACACGGTAGACACTCACACTCTAACCTTTTACCTCGCCTTTGTCTCCTTCCCGACTTGCATCGGCACGTTGGCAGAGCAAGTGCTGGTCGTGACGCAGGACGGGCGCGTCATCGTGGGCACGCTAAAGGGGTCAGACTCGACGGGCAGCGTCATCCTCGCCGGCTCCGTCGAGCGCATCTTTGCGCCGGACTGCCCCGTTGAAGAGGTCCCGCTTGGCCTATACGTCCTCCGAGGCGATAGCATGTGCGTCTTCCCCCTCCCGCTTCTCCCTTCCCCCGTTTCCCTCACAGAGGAGCCTGACATCGGCATCGACGACTAGACTGACTGACGACTCCCCCGTTCGCACACTTCCCGCGATGCCTCTTTCTCATCCCCGCGCATCCGTTTGCACGCACGCATGCACGCACGCACGTACGCGCGCGCGCCGAACAGATGCCTTATAGGCGACCTCGACGTCGAAAAGGATAGGTCCATGGACCTTGCGCAGCTCATGGCCGAGCCCATCCCGGAAACACGGCATGCCCTCTAGCCGCCGCCGACGACGATGACGACGACGAGGAGGAGGAGCACAGGAGCAGCCCCCCCGCATCTTCCCTCCCTCTTCGTAGAAAGCCAGTCGGCGGGCGGGCATGGAGCATCCAATCGGACCCTGCTCCGCCCTCCACCCCCGTCCCGCCCTGCGTCGACGGCACCCGGCGCAGCAGCGGCAGCGCGGCGGCGAGGCGGGGAGGAGCAACACCCCACTGGCCCATCCCGCCCCGCAACAAGAATCGCCGCAAGAGGGCAGAACGGATCAAAAGTCCATGTGGATTTCCCTATGTGCAGAGCGCCACCTCCCCCTTCGAGGGCTATAACGGCCAGGGGCGGGCGATGGCGGCAGTGGGAGGCGGAATCGACGACTACAAGAGACGGGGAGCAGGCAACGAGCGTGGGTGGTGCTAGAAGATGCAGGTGCAGATGGTGCTGGTGCTGGCGAGGGATTGTTGGTGCTGATGGCTGGTGGTGGTGGCGCTGCTGCTGCTGGCGCTGCTGCTGCTGCTGGAGGTGGTGGTGTCGACGAGATTCGAGGCAGCGGTGCTGGTGGCAAGCGCTAGCAAGGTCCCCTCGCGGAGCATCGTCAGCCCGTCTCGAAGGTCGCGCCCCGACGACGAAAGCTCGACCAATGCCGGCCCGACGCGGCCAGGCCAGGCCAGGCCAGCCTGTACATATGCAAAAGTGGACCGAGACTGAAAACCTAGACGATGCAGAACGACCAATCAACCTCCTCCGTCTCCATCCCTGGCTGGACCCCCGTCGTGGTCGCGGGGAAAAAGAGTGTCGGTCGACGCTCGCGCGTGGCTTCTTTCGCCCCCGCCGCCCGCCACTGGTGTGACCCGACCTGACCTGGCCTGGCCTGGCCTGGCCTAGGACCGGCCAAACCACTTTTTCTTCTTCTTGCCGTCCTCGCCGTCGTTTGGCGACGTGGGCGACAGGGGCGACATGGGTCCGGCGCCGGCGCCCTGCGGCGACAGCAGGCGGTTGGGGTCGCCGCCGCCGCCGCCGTCGGTGGTGCTGAGCTGCGGCGGCGGCAGAGGCATCGAGGCGCTCGCCGTTGCCGGGTAGGATGGGTACGCCTGCCCCTGCGAAAAGGGGCGGCCGGGTTCGGCCACCGGCGACGCCACGGCCGAGGGCGGTCCGGAGCGCATCGGCGACGTGGCGTTCCTCGCCTGCGCCTGCGCCTGCGCCTGGGCGCGCTCCGTGGCCGCCACGTTGGCCAGGTATTGCTGCTCGCGCTGCGCCGTCTGCGCATCGCGCATGGCAATCGGGCTCGGGTAGCTCATCTGCGTGCTGGGCGCCATCGAGCTGCGGTCGACGCTGCCCGGGAACGGCGCAGAGGTGGGCTGTCCGCGCTTGCCGTAGTCGGTCGACATGGCCCCCGCCGCGCCCCTGCCATTGTTGGCGCCGCCGTTGCCGCCGCCGCCGCCACCACCGCCGGCACCGACACCTGCGAGCGACTTCTCGGGCCGTCCGCCGAGCGCCGCAAGTCGCTGGTTGGCGCGCTTGTCGCCGTGCTCGGCGGCGGACCGGTACCACGCCTTGGCCTCGGCGACGTCCTTGACCGTTCCGATGCCCATCTGAGCGGGTAGGGAAGGCGTAGGCACAAGGGGACAGATGCCGTCGGATGTGTCAGCGGGGGGACTTCGCTCTTCTGCGGCACGCCTTCCCTTGTGGCAAGGGATACCCCGCACGCCCCACAACTCACCTCGGTAAAGTATCCGACGGCGTACTCGGCCTTGGCGAGGCCCTGCTCGGCCGCCTTTTTGGCCCAGAGGTACGCCTCGGTGTCCGACTGGGGCAGGATGCCGGGCGCGCCGACGAGGTACCACGCCGTGAGGGCGAAGCACGCCTCCTTGTGGTTCTGCTGGGCGGCGATGTTGTACATGTGGATGCTGAGGCCGCCGTCCTGCGGGCACCCCATCCGACCGTACTCGTAGTTGACGCCGAGCTTGTAGGCGCTGGGCGCGTAGCCCATCTCGCCCGCCTGGGCCAGCAGCTCGCAGCTGTACTCTGGATCCACAAAGAGCACGTTGTCGATGCCGCGCTCGTGGAGCAGCGCCAGCTCGTGGAGCGCGTGCGGGAACTCGGGCGTGGCCGCCTCGGCGCTGCGCTTGAGCCACTTGACGCCCTCCTTGGCGCTCTTCTTGAGGCCCAGCTCGCCGTTGAGCTCGGCCGTGGCGAGGCGGTACATGGCGCCCGGGTGGTTCTGCGACGACGCCTTGCGATAAAACTGGAGCGCCTTGGCATTGTCCTTGCGGCAGCCCCAGCCCTTTTCGTAGCAGGTGCCGGCGCGGTAGGCGGCGTCCGGGTGGCCGTGCTTGGCGGCCAGCACAAAGTAGGTGTAGGCCTGCCCAAAGTCCTGCTTGCCCTTGGCCGTGCCGATGCCGTTGGCGTAGCAGTCGGCCAGGAAGTACTGGGCGTCCGGGTGGCCTCGGTCGGCGATCTTCTTGAGCAGGCCGGTGGCCTCCTTGACCAGCTCGTCCTTTTTGGCCGCCGAGTTGGGGCCGTCGTCGCCGCCGCCGTTTGTGGGCGGCGATCCGGGCGCATCGTCGCCCATCGTCTTGGAGGCGTCGATCATAAAGACTGCCAGCTCATAGATGAGGTTGGGGTCGTTGGTCTTCTTGGCGTTTTGGCGGTACAGCTCGAGCGTCTTGCCGTGGCTCAGCAGCGACGCCTTCTGGCCCGGCTTGAGGTGGCTGTGGTCGAGCAGCGGCCCGCTGTTGATGGTGGGCGCGATGCTCGCCGGCCGGGTGGCGCCCGACGCGCCGAGGCCGCCGTAGCCGTTGCCGCTGGCGCTGCTGGGCATGGGGCCGTTGCCGGTGCCGCCGGCCGCCGTCGAGATGCCGCGATAGGAGCCCTCGCTGCGGTGACTGCTCGGGTGCTGACCGCGAGCAGCCTGGTCGTCATCGGGCAGGGCGGGCGGAGTGGCGGTGCCAGGCGGAGCACCCTCGACGCCAAAGAACGAAGAGGGGCGAGGTCCGTTGGCCGCCGCGCCCGGTGCAGGCTGCCGCATCTGGGGCGGAATCGGCATCGAGATGGGCGAGGTGGCCGCGGCGGCGACCGCGCCCGAGTGGCTCTGCTGCAGCCTCTGCTGCTCGTCGTTGTCGTCGTCGCCGGGGATCATGCCCCGAGGGACGGGTACGTGCTGGCCAGACGCGTTGACGGCGGCCAGCGGCCTTTCCATGCCAAAGAAGCTGCTCGGCCTCTCGCGCTCGACAAAGTGCTGCGGCTGTGCCTGGTGCTGATGCAGCTGCTGCTGCTGCTGTGGTGTCTGCTGCTGCTGCTGCCGCTGCTGCTGCTGCTGGTTGTACTGCTGCTGTCGATGACCGAGAGCGAGGTCGTTGAACGGAAGCGAGTCGACGGACGAGTGGCCGGCAGAGTCGGCACTGCCGCCTTGAGCGGGCGCCGAGGGAAAGGTGAAGTTGGAGGTGAGGGCACCCTTCTGCGGGCTGGCGGGGTGCTGGTGGTGGTGGTGCTGCTGCTGCTGCTGCTGCTGCTGATTGGAGGCGCTAGCAGAGATCGGGGAGGTCGCCGAGTGGTTCGAGGCCGAGTGCTGCTGGTGAGAGGAGTGGACGCTCTGGACGTCGACGGACGGACGATCGACAGCGATCGAGGACCGACCTGGACCGCTGGCCGCGCTTCGCTGGTCGGACTTTGTGGGCAGCGGGGGCAGCGCGGCGCCCGTGCTCGACGAGGCGGGAGGCGACTGGTACATGCTGGCCGAGGAAAAGCCGCGCTCCAGGTGGGCCTGGCTGGCCAGCTGGGCCAGCGGGCTCTGGTGCGGGTCTGCCTCTGGCCCAGCCCCTGCCTCTGCCTCCGTGCCCACCGCGTTGCCGCTCGGATCTCCCTGCCGCCGGCTGCCGTCATTATTGGCGCCCTCGCCATCGCCGCCCGTCACACGATCGGGCTGCTGCTGCTGCTGCTGCTGCGACGTTGACGCGGGCTGCGAGCTTAAGGCGGGCGCTGCGGTGGGTGGGTGGTTCCTGGCGGCGAAGCGGTCAAAGAAGTCGTCCTTGTCGCGCGAGGCCGAAAAGTCGGACTCGACGTCAAACGAGCTGAACTCGGGGAAGCTGGGCAGCGGGCCGGCGTTGAGCGGGGCCGATGCGAGCGTGGCAGAGGTGTCCGCGGCGCTCGACGAGTGGTACTGGCCGGCGTCGAGGTCCGGGTAGGAGTAGTTGTCGGAGCTGGCCCTGGGCAGCGAGGGTGCCGCTGCCGCCGCCGCCGCTGCGGCGCTGTCGTGGGCTGCGCTCGAGTTGGCGGCACCGGCTGCGCCGGCGATGTTGAAGCGGTTGTGGTACGCCTGGGCAGGCGAGATGGGCGAAGCCATGCTGCTGGCTTGGTCGAGGGTGGGCGGTGCAGTACGGCGCGACTGTCGCTGCTGGCGCGGGCGGTTCTAGCCGGGGCTCAGGATGCGGCGGGGGGCGGGCCGGATAGGACGCTGCTGGCCAGAGGGAGTGTCGCGCTCGGTCTCCCGGGCTGACGGCAGGATGGGCCGGCTAGCGAAGAGCGGTGATGTACGAGCGGGCGGGCGTCTATGGTGCCGGCTAGGCGGAGGTGGTGAATGGCGTACGTCTGTCTTCGATGATGAGCGCTCGGGCCCTCGAGGTGGGTTGACGCAGGGAGCTCTAGGCCCGGCTAGGCTCTGTCTGAGTTTGTCGAAGCGTGGGCGCAGGGCGTCGTGGACGCAGCAGTGGTGCGATGGTAATGGCGCTGCGATGATGGTGAGGAGCGTGGCGGAGCGTGGCGAGCGGTGCGAGACGGGGAAGGGGGAGGGAAGAGAGGAGCGAGATGGGTTGGGCGCTGGTTGGGCGTCGGATGAAAGCGCGCGGCAAGCCAAGCTAGAGGGGACCCCATCTCACCGGCTCCCCTAGGCTGCCCTGCCCTGCCTGGCTGCCTCTCTGTGGTGCGGCGGTGCAGCGCGGCGCAGTGGGCAGCGGTTGGGTTGGCCCGCGACCCTGAG